GCCCTTTCCTCGACTACTTGCCCGACGGGAAAACAAGAGCGACCCACCGAGCGGAACTCGAGCCCAATATGGTCATGCCTGGGAGGGGACCGATGGTCGACATCTACTACATGATTACCCGCAAGTTCGTGGAGGACCGGCGAGCGAAGGTGCCCACGGACTTCGACCAGAACTTCCTCCTCTTCGGCATGATTCTCCGCAAGGATTAGGTGCAGTAACTTCAGTTGCCGACGGACTTCGACCAGAACTTCATCCTCTTCGGCACGATTCACCCCAAGGCCAATGTCCAGGACAGCTGCAGAGTGGGGGGCGACTGGACGTCGTACAGGAGAAGGGGGTCCAGGCAACGGTGGCCAAGGATATCTCCGTTTGCACAGTTCTTTCCCACCGGAGTTCAGAGCACGTCCTGGTGAGTCTTGGAAGGACTATTGGCGGGCCGTGGAGTTTTGGCTGGCTTCTGAAGGCATTAATTTGCCCCCAGAAGTGAGAAGCTCGAGGTTAATGCAGCAGATGAAGGAGCGTGCGGCGAAGATCGTGAACCACCTCTCGGTCTCGGATGTGGCCTGCGAGGACGGGGTCGCGATCATCCGGAAGGAGATGGAGAAGTCACCGATCATAAAGCTTCTGGAGCACAAGGAAGTGGACCGTAAGAGGCAGAAGTTTATGAGGTTGTCCCGCTATGCCGGCTAGTCCCTGGAGAGTTTCATCAATCGGGCCTCGATTTATCGCCACGAGAATGACAGGTGCCAGAACTACAAGGTTGGGTCCAAGTTCTACTTGGGGCACTTGTTGGACGCGGCGAAGCTCACGAAGAAGGACGAGGCCCTGGTGAAGACGGCAGCGGGCGGCCTTCATGAAGAAGGTCGTGTGGTGAGTGCTCTTTTGGAGCTCTCCGAGCAACTGGAGGGCCAGCCAGGCTGGCCTATCGGGAAGGGCGAGCCGGACCTCTGAGTTCCTGGTGCAGAAGAACAAGTGGAGGCATCGCGGTGACCGAGGTGACGCTGAGGACAAAGGCGGTGGCGACCGAGGCCGCCCTCGAACGAAAGGCGGGCGCTTTGCTTCGGACCGCTTCCGGGGCAAGTTCAAGAAGCGCTTCAAGCAAGTGTTCCACGCGATCCGCGAGGATGGGAGTGACGAGTCTTCGTCGAGCAGTGACGGGCCCTCGGAAGGAGATGGGCCCCCCCGCGATGATGATGAGAGGGATGGCTCTGGCTCCTCAACGGAGCCTTCGGAAGGTTTGGAACAGCAGGCCCCCGCCGAGATCTTCGCCCAGGAGCACAGAGCAAAGAAACGTGTCAACGAGTTAAAGCAGATGCGGCAGTACTTCCAGAAGGGCACCAACGGCGACCGCACGAAAGCCTGGGTGAAGGAACAGCAGAAGACCGAGCCGTGCTTCCTCTGCCAAAAGCTTGGACACTGGTCGCAAGAATGCCCTCTTCGTAAGCGTGGAGGCCACAAGCAGTCATCCTCCCACCAGGTTCACGTGACGTCTGGACCGTACAAGTCGGATCCTGGACAATGGGAGCTCCTGCAGTCCATCGCGGAACACACGGTGGGAGATGTGTGCGAGGGACAGTCAGCAGCACATCCATGTTTAGTCACGGTGGCCAGTGAATGTGCTATGGCTGATCATGAAGTTTTTTGGTCTATGCGCGAGTTGCAGAGCAGTTTGATTTTGGATCTGGGTTGCATGAAGTCGGTGGCGGGGACACGCTGGGTAAATCAACATATTCGACACCTCAAGGGCTTGGGTCGCTGGATGAAGGCCACGAAGGAGAGTGAGAGTTTTCGTTTTGGGGATGGTCATGAACTCAAGAGTTGCTTCTCCTTCACCTTTGAGGCCACTGTCTTGGGGGTTCCCGTCATCCTGCGACTCAGTGTGGTTCCTGGTAATTGCCCTCCCTTGTTGTCGAAGCCTGCATGCTCCCAGCTCAGTTTTGTAATCGACACCGAGAACAACACAGTGTCTTCCAAGAAGTTAGGTGTTGTGAAGTATGGCCTCGCGGAAACATATGGAGGACACTATGCGGTGCCCATTGCAGAGTTCCATGAGAGCATGAGAGTGGTGTGTGATCCTCCAGTACCCGGGCACTTGGAAGCTGTCCCCGTCTATGTCAGTGAACAAGCCCTGAGCCCCCCCGAAGCCGTCGAGCCGGTGTTACCATCGTCCGGATTGCGGTCATGGACATGTCATGACAGAGCAGTGTCAAACACTGTGGGCCCCGGAAAGGCTGGTCCCCCGTGGTGCGTGGTGGTTCGTCGTCTCGTTTACGACACGTTGACGGGAGAGCAGTTGCTGGATGAAGCGGTGGACTCCCGAACCACCATCCGAAAGCCTTGGCCCCAGAAGCTTGACACTACGACGATTTTCCTGTACCGCAATTACGGCTCCTCCAGCGGTTTTGTTGGTGAGCCCAACCCCATGGGGACTGCGTTCCCTATCAATTCGAATCAAGCTCCACAGCATGGCCTCCGAGCGCAAGGAAAAGCCCCCCTCTTCGAGGACCGAGCTGCCTTGTCGACATCGCATGAACACGGATTCAGAGGCCGAGGAAGCCGAGGAGCACGACAGTGGAACACCGAGTGGATGGGAGGGCGTGCGCCCCGAAGGAGAGGCCAGCTCCCCCCGGGCTCTCGCTCTTCGAAGAGTCCGGCACCCTCCACTCCAGTCGACCCCAAAGGTCTCCAAGGCGATCCTCGAGGCCCGCGCGAAGGAGCTCGAGGACAAGTTGTGGAGGCACATGGACCCGCGGACGATCCACACGCCCGGCTCCAAGGCGACAAAGCTGTATTGGGCGACCCGGGTGGAGGAGCTGGAGAAGGAATGGCGTCTTTGCCAGATGACGCCCGAGGAGATGGAGCTGGACAGGCTGTCCCAGGATGGCGAGAACGACTCCGAGCAGGGGGACCAGGAGGCGATCGACGTGGAGGCCCTCAATTGGAGAGCAGCGAGAAGGCGGTGAAGAAGGCCGATGCGAGACGTTCGTCGACCCCTGCACCACCGAGGCCGAGCTCAGCGCCCTCTACCTCCACGACCGGAGCTCGAGGAAAAGGAGCCTTGAAGGTGAAGGCCTTGACGGACCATGCGGCTCCCTTCCCCTCCCTCTCGAACAAGTTCTCGGACGACGTCGTGATCAACCTGGCGCTGAGCCTTCAGGGACAGCTCTTCGCGTTCAAGTGGAAGATGTTCACCTGGATGTTGAGGGTGCGCCGAGCAGTGCGCCTCGAGTGCGGGCCCAAGTCGCGTTGGAAAAGGAACCCAAGGTGGTTGATGCTGTTGTTCGGGAGGCAAGTGGCCTCGATGTGGGGCCATCTCGGATCGGCCCGGCAGCTGTGCAACGATCCCCGCCAGGCCCACCTGATGCACGGGACCCCAAGCTCATCCGACGCCCCTCCCGAGGGCTCACGCAGAAGCTGAGACGAGGTGCAGGCCAGGGACAGAAGGCTTTGGGGATTTTGACGTTGGTGGCCGCCTGGCAAAGCAAGTGGTCAGTCCTGGAAGTGTTTCCGACGGGCCTGGAGACCCAAAGCACTAGGGCTGGCGGCTGGGCACACCAAGGACCGCTGTGGACCGACGACAAGCCTCCGACTTGGAGGCAGTGCCGACAACTTCGAGATAAGGTCGTGGAGGCCAAGCCGGATGTCCTCGTGCTGTGCCCCCCTGCAGGACCTTGGTCTCCCTGGTCGTCGGCATCTTCAATGACTCAGGCTCAGTTGCGGCAGCAGAAGGTGAAGTACTGGCCTATGTGGTACCTCATCGGCGAATTGTGGGCCGAGCAATGCGCCAACCATCGGTTGGTGATCCTTGTGGTGCCGAGTAAGATGAGGCCGCCCGACCCAGATGAGCTACGTCGGCTTCACAGTGACCATTATGTGGGAGGTGGACGAGGACTGGACCCGGGACTATATGAAGGTGATCAACTTCGGGACCCCAAGTTCGAGACGAAGGTGGATATGTGTGAATGGGGAACTCTTGATCCCGAGAGCCAACGGCCCTTCAAGAAGTCATGCCGGGTGGAAGTCAATGATCCTTGGTGGTGTGCTCAGCTATCGGCTGGAGGAGTTTGCCGCCATGCCCCCGGAGCTCATCAAGAGGTCTGCGGGCACACCTATGACGCCAACGGACGGCGGGTGGCCCGAATGGAGATCGCTCAGGTCTGGCCCCCCAGATGGTTTCAACATCTATGTGAGACGGCGCAGGCCACCCTGGAAGCACGGACGGCCCCTACGATGACTATGGCCCTCCACCAAGAATGCTCCAAGGAGGTGGAATGGGAAACTGTTCCGGTGGAGGTGGAACAGTCTCCAGAAGGGCAGCTACGGCAAAACCTGGGCGAGGCAACGGGCTACCAGTACGACTACATCTACTTCGAGGGTGCGAGCGCCTCGTTGACCAAACCCCTCCGCAATACCTTGGCGAAGCTTCACGTGGCCCTGGGCCACATTTCTCAGGAAAAGCTAAAACGAATGTTACATCTACAAGGTGCCAAGGACCACATCATTGCAGCGGTGGGCGACCTTCGTTGTCAAGTATGTCAAGCGGTCACGGCCCCACGCGCCCCTCCCAAGGCCGCTTACGGGAAGCCCCAAAGATTCAACCAGCGGGTCCTCGCCGATGTGTTCTTCATCTGGGACTCCCAAAAGACGAAGTATGCGGTCATCCATGCCGTGGACGCCTTTTCCTTGTATCAGGTGGCCTCGCTCATGCCCACGGCCAAATCGAACCTTGTGGCTCACTTCATGAAGAACTACTGGATTGGTGTGTTCGGGCCACCGGAGATCTTTATGAGTGATGGTGGGTCCGAGTTCGCAGCGGAGACGGAGTCTCTGATGAGAGCATATGATGTGTTCCACGAGGTGGTCCCCCCAACGGCAAAGCGGCGAATGGGTTTGGCCGAGCGGCACGGAGCAGTGCTCAAACTCTTGACGATGAAGACCATCCAGGCGGTCACGGCCCAAGGCTACAGCGAGGTCAAGGCGCGCGTGGTCAGTGCGGCCGCGGCGCGAAACCGCCAAGCCCGAGTGTCGGGTTTCTCCCCAACACAGATCGTGCTGGGGAAGGACGTGGCCATCCCCTCCTCTCTCCTGGACCAGTTGGAGAAGGGACACTTCCGCTATGTGCTGAACCAGGACCTCGCCTTCGACGAGGCCCGGAAGAGGAACGAGCAGATTCGTCACGCCGCGGAGCAGGCCTTCATCTGGATGGACGCGAACGAGACCTTGCGCAAGGCGATCAATGCCAAGACGAGGCACCCCCGGATGGAGTTTCTGTACGAGGGGGCGAACGTCTACTTTTACGAGCCGCCAGCGGCGCGATACGCCGTGTCTGGGTGAGGTACCGCAACAAGCTGAAAGGCCTTCCCCTCGAATACATCCGACTGGCCGCTGCCGAGGAGGTGGAGTCGTCGAAGGTGTGCCAGAAAGCTCTCCATGAGCTGGAGAAGGAACTCGAAGGTGGACGCCCCGAGGTCGAGGAGATGTCCGACAACCCCGACCGCGAGGAGATCCTGGAGCCCATGGAGTTCAGCGACGACAGCACGGAGGAAGCAGCGGCCCCACCCGAGGACCAGCGGTACTCCCACTTAGACGACGTGCCTCTGCAGTTCCGGAAGGACAAGCGCGAGAGCGTGGCAGCCGCTCCGGGGCCCGTGAAACGAGTGAGATTTGAGGACGCCAAGAAGGACGCCCAAGAGCACCTGGACAAGGTGAAGGCCCTGGATGTGAAGTATGAGCCGGGCGCACGATCGAGGGAGACCCCTGAAGGAGCCGCCTCGCAATCATCCCGAGATCCAGCGCCACCGCCTCCCCCTGCAAGCCATAGGGGACATGGTGTATCGACGTGTATGCAGACAATGACGCCATCGAGCCGGTGCCCCTTGCGAAGCCAGTGCCCCCGGAGAAGATTCTCCCGTCACGTTTCGTCCTCACTAACAAGAGCGACGACCCCGAGCTGGAGAAGGCCAACCTACGGGCTAGATGGGTTCTAGCGGGCCACCTGGACAAGGAGGCTGGACAATACGCCACGGAGGCCCCTACGGCAAGCTTGGTGGGTCACAACTTGGTTTGTTTCGTGTCGGTCCAGATGGGGTGGAAAATGAAGTACGCCGATATCTCCTCAGCTTTTCTTCAAGGAGAGAAGCTGGATGATGAGCGGGTTGTCTATATCAAGATGCCCCGCGGCTACCCAGAGGAGGTTTGTGATCACCTTCGCCACCGACTCGGGGAGCGCATGACAGGCAGCATCCGTACGGATGTTGTGCGACTCACCAAGGGTGGCTTCGGCTTGGCGGAAAGTCCCCGTCTGTGGTACCTGCGTTTGAAGCGGGGACTCGTGAGTCTGGGCCTCAAAGAGCTGAAGCTGTCTCCTGGGACCTTCGTCCTGCGCCTGAAGGGTAAACTTCGGGGCATCCTGTCCATCCACGTGGACGACCTGAGGATGGCCTTCGACCGCATGGCCGAGGCCCTCCTGGAGAAGCTGAGGACCGTCTTCCACTTTGGTGAATGGAAGGATGCCACGGCCGAGACGGTGAAGTTCTGTGGACGATGGGAGCGCCAGTGCCCCGACACCTTCAAGGTCACGATCACGATGGACGGCTACGCACCCAAGCTGAAGGATGCTCCGGAAAGGGACAGCAAGGACCGCGCGCCCCTCACCGATGCTGAAAAGAAGTGGGTGGCCTCAGTTGGAGAGCAATTGAATTGGATGGCCCGACAAGGCCGGGCAGACCTCGCCTACGGCATCTCTCGGGTGCAGCAGATGGCGGGAGCGCGCGACCCGGACACGATCAAGATGCTGAACCAGCTCGTCAAGAAGGCCCGCGAGCCCTACGAGTTGATTTACCAGCGCCTCCCCGGTACCGTCGAGGACATGGTGTTCCTGGCCGTGAGCGATGCTTCCCACGGCAGCATGCCAAAAGGACGGTCCCAGGGAGGGATGATGATTCTGGTCGCCAACAAGGAGATCTTGGAGGGCGAGAGCTTAGTGAACTGCCTCCTCTACCATAGTGCCGTGCTCAAGCGTGTGGTCCGATCGTCTCTGGCAGCGGAAATTTCTCAGGCGGCCGAGACCCTGGACCAGTGTGAGTATGTACGTGCCATGATGGCAGAGGTCTGGGACCCGCAGTTCACTTTGCAACTTTGGCGATGGTCAGCTGCTCGCTGGCCGGAAGTCCTCGTCCTCGACTCCAAGACCGGATACGATGTGTTGAACAGCATCAGCAACGGCGAGGACAAGCGCCTGGCCATTGACGTGGCGATGATCAAGGAGGCCATCTTTGAGGAGGACTCCAATCGTTGGGTCCGCTGCGTTCCCGGCCTCACCATCCCCGCGGATGGCTTGACGAAGGAGTACGGCAACCCCGTCCGCGACAAGGTCATGAAGGGCGGGCCCTGGAGTCTTAAAGATTGCGAAGAAGCTCAACGCCTCCGTGAGGAAGCCGGGTTTAGAAAGCGCAAATGTAAAGATCGTGCGCGAGCCAGAGAGAAGGCTTTTGAGGAGACTCGCCTGAAAGTGCAGTCTCCGCCCAATGTGTCAGCAGCTCCAAGTGGGGTTGGTGTGGAATTCTCACTTTGAACGCAGCTGCTGACTGCCAGGATGGGCTCGCAAGCACAGTGGAGAGAAACGGGTCCCCGGGGAGGGGATCACTTTTTGGTTGCCGGCTGCACTTTTGTGTGGCAGCGGAGCTCCGATACGGGGTTTCAGTGGTCTTTTGAGATCTTCGTTGTGAGGTCTGTTGTGAAAGGGTTGCTGGTCTGGTTTCCTTGAGCCCGGCCATGTCAAGTCTCCACAGTGCTGCGGGCCCAGCGTGGGAAACACCGGAGGATGGCAGTGATGATGAAGCGTGGTCATCTACGACAGTGATGGGCCCCGACGG